GAATGTACTCCTAAGTGAGCAGATTACACCTCCCCTCTACTATTTCTGGGAAATGTCACCCCATCGCAATGGTTTAATGACTGTTCCTTTTCTCCATTAGAAGAGGGAGATACCACACCCTTTCCTATTGTAGCGGAAGTGACAATGAAAACAAACTTTTTTGGTATCCTGGACCTCTGTACCGAGCTGCTCCCTCTAATAAGACCCCAAGGTGAGTCTGGTGCTGACCTGTCCCCACCTGCTGGGACCTCAACTCCAGGCCCTGCTTCCTGTCCCCCTGCAGCTGCTACTGCACCAGCCTCCTCCTGGACCCCACTGTGCACAAGAGACTCTGTTGCTTTGTCCTCACTTCCCAGATACTACTGATGCTCTGGTCCTGCTGCTCTTTCCGTACCTGCCTCTTCCTTTATCCTTCACACCTTGGTTTAAAGGTCTCCAGTTTGCATAGTGCCCCTCCCATTCGAGGCCCTTGGGATTCCATCCTGTCTGTGCTTCCTCTCCACTGTCTCAGCGATCTTATGCAGGCTGTTGGAGCCATCTCTCCCTCCAGGTCACTACAGCTGCCCCCGCAAAAATGTGTCATTTGCCAAGAACACTCCCAGAGAACCCCATACATATTCACTTTCCTGCTCTGCAGCTCCTCCTGACGTTGCTCAGTTATAAGCAGACATTTTCAGAGAATTCTCCTTCTGCACCAGAAAACCTCCACCAGCATCATGGTGGTCACCATGCCCTACCCACTCCTAGTCACTGATCACATCTTAAGACCATACCTCCTGAGGGTCTCCTGATTCCCTCTCATCCAAGCCCTACAACAGGCCCTCAACTACCAAAAGGCACAACTTTAACCCCTCCCAAGATTCCTCCCTTCTTGAGACTCTCTACCCGCCTACTCCCCACTCCAACACTCCTACATATCAAAGCCCAAGCCCTTAGCATAGTCCACAGGGATGTCCTTAAATCTCCCAGGCCTAGCTCCCACCTCATTTTACCTCCATATCAAGATGTTCCATGTGCTGCACACACAAAAAAAGCTATCCTATTTCTTTCACCATAAACTTCTCTAATACTCACTCCACCTAATTTGGGCAAACCACCACGCACTAAATACCGATAAAAACAAGTAGTTACTTTTAGAAAAATTAACTTATGTGACCTGTACTTGAATACTTGCAGGTAGATCTTACTCTGCTTCCCAGCCAGTCTTTCCTGAAAGTTCTACTACTCAACTTCTAAGACTGTCCACTAAGATCTCAAAGGGCCACTCTTTGCAGTGTCACCTGATTCCTCTACCTGCCAAAAGTGAAGTACAAAATGAGTTCCAAATCCATATACATAACCATCCACGTGGATTTCTTCAAGAAGGCAAAAACCTATTTGTCTCTCAGATGGAAACTTTGTACTTTAAAATTCCAACAAGTTTTTCATGGTTCTTATGTACAACTCTCTCCTTAAGGACTTGTAACTTATTTCAGGTAGGGTGGTGAATGTGTCAAGCAGGATGATTTTCGTGGACCTTCCAAACTGCAGCCCAGAGCTGCAGCAGAAGTTTCGAAGTGAGACCATCACCGAGGAGGAGCTGGCGGGGCTCATGAACAAGTTCGTGGAAGATGCAAAGAATGGGGTGCACGAGAAGGAAGGCTGGCCCAACTCTGCATATGGGGTGTCCAAGATCGGCGTCACGGTCCTGTCCAGAATCCAAGCCAGGAAACTCAGTGAAGAGAGGAGAGGGGACAAGATCCTACTGAACGCCTGCTGTCCGGGGTGGGTGAGAACTGACATGGCGGGGCCCTCGGCTACCAAAAGCCCAGAAGAAGGAGCAGAGACCCCCGTGTACTTGGCCCTTCTGCCCCCCAATGCCAAGGCCCCCCATGGAGAGTTTGTTCAGAACAAAAATGTTGTACAGTGGTGAGCTCAACTCATACCACTCAGGGTCCCATCTTGTACCATGACATGATGTGACCCAAAGGACATTTATACTGTCCAGTATATCCCCATGCGAAAAATAAATCAACACATCCCCATCCGGGACTCAGTACTGATAGACAAATAAGAAAGTAGACTATTCACTGAGTGGCCATTAATTCTATGAAGTCTTTTATGGTTTCCTCTGTGATAGAGGGAGAGAAAAAGTAAAGTTGCTGGAAATATGAATAAAATCAGTAGCCAAACAAAAGGTTCTTTCAGAACATCTGATTCTCAGTGTTGTTTTCATGCCGAGCCACCGCCATCTCATCATTAAAGTGAGGTCTAGAGAAGGGACGGTGTAGCTCAGGGACTGGCAAACACAGCAGAGGCCAGACAGGTACATCTTCAGCCCTGTGGGCCGTGCAGTAGGTGGCAGAACTCAGGGCTGCCGTGCAGTGACAGGAAAGCAGACACGTGGCAGGAGCTCCAGTTCCTCAGCCCTCAGGAAGCACAGACAACACCATGGGGACAAAGGCAGCTACCTGGTTTCTTGAAAAGGTCTTATTCATTGTGGAAAACAACCAAGCGCAGTGTGTGAAATGTGAGTGGTGCTTGTGTGGAACACTCGGCCATTTATGGCTCTGAGGTGAGAAAATGATTGTTTAAATTCCCAGTGGGAATGTTATTTACACAGGGATGAAGTGTCACAAGGGCTGCAATGTTCCCATGTTTCAGCCAAATACATACAGGGAAGCGAACAGGATAACAGAATGTTCACCACGGCAGGGCACTGCGGGATATATGGCGTCTACTTTGTTTCCACCTTTCTGTTTGTTGACAGCTATCAATACATGGGGAGAAACAGAGGCATAGCTCAGTGAGAGAATATTTCCATTGCATGTGTGAAGCCCTGGGTTCCATGCAAAGCATAGGGAAGACAAAACACAAGACAAACCTGTGTAGACAACTGCTGGCTTTGCCTTAGTGCATGACCTCAGGCAGAATGACTATCTCTTGCTGTGTCCCAGTCTCCTTAAAACTGTCAGATGAGGACAATGGTCCCAGGATGGCATGTTTACCTATAAGGTGCTGAAAATCTTGCCTGATACTTAGCTGCGCCCAGTGTCGGGCTCACACCACTGCCTGCTGGTCAGGAGCAACACGTGTTCACTGCCCATCACCCAGCTGGGCCGCAGCGGGTACAAGGCAGTGTGCCCTCTGTCCCTTCCTCAGGCCCCTGCTGCTATGCTGTTTCTCCCTCTCCCCCAGCCAATTTCAGGCTCACAGCCATGAACAGTGACCACCCCTGAAAACAAGGTGGGACCTGCTTCCAAGGAGACATTGATTTACACGTTTCCACTCTCAGCAAAATCGTTCACTAAGCAGACACCAACCAGAGATCAAAAAATGTGTCGGTCAAGACTACAGTATTTCAACTGCTAGTTTGCAGATGCATAGTTCATGTGCAAAGACATTTTTTCCTACTATCTTAATAACACCTAGCTTCTTTAAGAACATAAAAGAAAACATTTCAAATTCAAGGACCTGGTTATTTCTGAGCTGAGGGCACACATTGTATCCTACCTGTATTACAAAAGATTTATTTATTTATTTTTTAGCCAGAGGATGGGTACTTCCTCCTAAAACACAATTTCCAAAAAGGAGAAAATTACCACCGTCACATAGATAAAAATACACTGATTCTGATGACATGAAGTACCCAGGTAGACACAAGAAGTTGAAAGGAAAAGCTAAAGGGCCTATACTTACCGAGTGATGAAAAGTTGAACTAAACTGTAAATGGAGACAAGATTGGCGTTTTTCCCATGTAAAGAAAGTTCATTAAATCACTACTGAGCAGGACAACATTTATTGTTTCCCATAATTTATTAAGGAATAAAAAATATCTCAGAATGAGCTGAGCCATGAATGTATGTGATAACTTCCCTTGCAAAGACTCTTCAAGCTTGTATGAGGCTAGACAACACCCACCTGCAGAAAGAATCAACATGCCCTGCCTGCACTAGCGGATGAGCCCACTGGGTAGGGAGGAATACCCGGGCGCTGCCTGGGGTTTTCAGATTTACAATCACAACCCCAGTTATGTCACCTGTACTGCAAGCCAGTGCTGCCTAATTCCCTAGTTACATTCATTTTCCCATTCTGCAAGATGCTATTCTTTCTTCAACCCCCCCCCCAAACTAATCCCTGTGGCTGATCGAATGCCACTCCACATCCCTGTGACCAGACCCACTCATGTTACCTTCCCTCTGTTACAGGAGAAGATGTGTTTTCTTGCCAGGCCTGGCTACTGTTGAGTGCTGGGTCCATCCACGCATCATGTATTCCCTTTCTCTCCACATTTTAAATAAAAACAGGCCTTAGCATCTCTCAGCTTTTCAAGCCCTTCCAAAAGGATTCAAGTCAGGGCCAGGGATGTAGCTCAGCAGCACAGCACGTGCCTGGCAAGCTTGAGATCACGAGTTCGATTCCCAGCACCAAAAGGAGTCAAGTCATACACAGCAAGTTCTGTGTTCTCACTGGAATTAAGTTCAAAATCAGCAAAAACCTAGACAATCACCAAAGACTTGGATTTGTCTGGCTATGTTTTTCTTAAGGAATATATACATACATTTCAGGAAAACAAAATCTTATACATTTTTAATACTAAATTTATTAAGACATCATGAGGTTAACACAAATTACCTGCGACCTCTGAAATTACAAGTGGTGCTGAAAGTGGTGGCCACTAGCTTCCACATATTTATTTGTCTTTTCCAGAATTATGTATACATTTTTTGATTCTCTCCCTCTCTTTCTGTCTCTCTCCCTCCCTCTCCCCTCCTCTCTCTATATATACATATAATTTTTAGTAATGCCACCTCTATTGATATTAGCAACATTTTATCAATAAAGGTGACATTACTAAAAATGATAAAATGATAGGCACAGCATATTATAAACTGCTTCATGTCAATGGAATGAACAACTTAAGTAAATGAAATCATAAAATATGTGCTCCTTATGACTGGCTTCTTTTATATAGCATAACTTTTTTTAAAAAAAGTTTTTAAAAGTTTTAAGTAATCTATATATTTATCCATCCATATATTTAAAAATTCATCCATTTATTTAAATCCATATGGATTTAAATGTACACAGGATTTGTTTTGATCGGATAGTATAAAAAGACAGGTATGAAGACAGTTTGAAGAGTTTATTACTCGATGCTCTCAAGAGAGGTGACATACCAATCCTTGCAGGACCACATGGAGCAGAGCCAGGTGGAGCCACTCTACTCTCTAGCAAGACACTGAATCTGCCAAACAAGTGTGCAATGTAAGAACTAAAGACAGTGTCAAGTACGGTTCTGTGAGGGTAAATAATCACAAGGAAGGGAAGGCTTTAAGAGCTTCCTCATTTGTAATTTAACAACAGGCTTTCCAGTTTCTTTTAACAGACTCCTTGGAACTGTGTGCCTTAACACAAAATATCTGTGTTAAACCAGTAGCTGGTAAAGATGTGAATTTATCCTACAAATGAATAGGCTGGGATAAAGTTAATTCTCTGCATGGTAGACAAGACAGTCTCAGAACTTTGACTACCGCTATTAACTCACAACTGCCAAGTGGACCTGGCAGTTTTAAGGAAGATGTGGGAGCTGTACCTTTACCCCCTTGGTTTCCTTTCTCAAATTGTTCAGAACGAGACCCAGTGCTATGTTTCTGGGGGGTCCCTAGTAAACACACCAGGACAGCCAGTCATGGTGACGCACACCTGTAATCCAAGCGCTCGGGAGGCTGACACAGGGGGATTGTTATGAGTTCTAGACCAGCCTGGGCTACAAAGTGAGCTCAAGACAAGCCTGAACTGCATAGCAAGGCCCTATCTCAAATATAAATAAATAAATAAATAAATAAATAAATAAATAAAATAAGCACACCAGAACAAACACCCAGGCCTGGGGATATAGCTCAATGGTAGAGGGCTGCATACATACAAATGAGGACATAGGAGAAGTAGATGACTGGTGGATTACTTTGTGGTCAACATATAATTGTGATATTGTACTGTATTTTGCAAACTGATAGAAAATGTAAGATGGAAGGAATCTGAATCGTTCCTTACAGCTGCATGTAAATCTCTAACATCTCAATAAACATTTCTGTGGAAAACCATCAGTAGTCTTTTCCTGATTGGTAACTTTTATTTATGAACCTGACTGAAAACTTATTTCGAATTGGCAACATAATTGGAATCTATGTGAAACAGGGCTGTGCGACAGAATCATTTCCAATGATGGAGAAATATTCTTCACCTACACTAGCCAACACGGATCGTGCGAACACCGAGCACTTACTTCACAGAAGACTGCATTTTGTAATTGCATGAATATAAATTTAAATTTGGAGTTAGAAGGTCACTTGTGACTAGTGTCTAGGAGACAGCACAGAACTGAAACTTGATCTTATAGTCCCCTTATTGTACTGCTGCAGGTAGTAAGCAGGGAAGAAACCTCATTTCCACCTCGGAAACAACTTCTTAATCCTGAGCGCGAGTCCTTGAAGGTCTTGCAGGCAGCTCAGGAGCGTTAAGGCTGCGCTGACTTAGTTAGTAATGTTCCCCACCATTCTTGGAAAACCTGGCAAGGGTAAGCCAGTAGTTTTACTCATCTTACTTAGTAAGTCAACAGAATTTTGATCCCCCAACATTTTTTCTTGAGCCTTCTCCTCTCCCAGAGTTTTTGGTACGCTGTCACCCGCGAGGTCTGCACACTGTCGCCCTGTGCACTTCTCCTCCAGAATTCCTCAGGAGAAGGCCAAGCCCTCAGGGAGGTTCCTGCGGCTCTCCTTACTCTGGCCCCACTAACTCCAGGCTCATTTTAATTTCCTAACATGCACATGACACGCTATCAGATTTCTTACCCTGTGAACTGCTCCAGTAGTTATCCAAGCAATGAGCACGCAGGTGCGCCGTCATTCATTAAGTACACACCAATAGGGACGCACTGCCACTTTTAGAAACACTAAAGCCTGCAGCTGAGCCTGGTGTCCTTGAGCTCCGGGTTTACTTTGGAAGTCACAGGAGGTCCCCGGGAGCCACGCCCGGCCAGGGGCGGGCCCGCGCCTGCGCCCTCTGCCCTGCATGCTTCCCTGGAACACACCCCTCCGGACCCGCTGACCCTCGGTCGCTCACTGCGGCTCCTGCTGCCTCGGTCCACTTTCCACGCTACTTTCTCCAGCTGCTACGCAGCCATGTCCTGCACCCGCGTGGCGCTGGTGACCGGGGCCAACAAGGGCATCGGCTT